AGACTCCACACGTAATGCCAAAATTAGTAATAAAAAGTACCTCACGGGTCTCGTCACAAGATTGCCCCGGACCACCACGGCAGAGCTGTTCAGTACACTCAGCGACAAGGACTGGCTAAAACCCTCAATATTTATCAGCGTACTGCCACCGCCGTCCATATGAAACGTGTTGCCCACCACCGCAAACACGGAGTGCCAAGACACCCTCAGCGCAGATCTGACAACGTAAATTGCGATTGACGATGCCGTCACGGTCTGAAACACATTGCCACTGAGCACCACCGCGGAGTCATTGGCGATCACCATTCCATTCATCGCAACGCACGACGGGATCCATATGTCCAATCCCGACCGAGGAATCAGCCTCGTGACAGTGAAGCGGTTCCCGCTGATCGTGATGTTCGTGTGCGGTGGAAACCCACCCTCCGGACTGAGCAGCGCGTCACTAAAGGTGCTGCCAGTGACGACGATGTGCAGCGACCCCACAGTGGCGTGCGCGTTGCCCAACAGCAACAGCACGGCGCCGTCCCTCCACGTGCATCCATCGAACGTGATTTTCACCACGTCGCCCGTCATCGCCCCAACCAGCACCGTCAGGCTCATGCCGCCCCCGCTGAACGTCACGTTGCGGTAGCACAGCCACGACAGCCCGCTGCCCACAGACTGCGCAACCTCGGGGTACACCATGTCGCTGATGCACTCACCAACCGGCGGTGGCGGCGGTGTGGGCGGCAGTGGCGGCGACGGCGGTGGCGGCGGGCCAGCAGGCACAGGCGCAGGGACACACACATCGCCGTGCCCTCCAGCAGCGCACTGGCACTTGCAGTCGCTGACCGCCGTCGTCAGCGGAGCAAAGCAGTCGCCGTCCCTCGTGCACTCACCGCACGCGAAAACCGTCGTCACGTTGGTGATGCCGTGGAGCGCCAGTTCTGCCGCCGTCGTCACCTCCCGTCCCGCGACCGTCAGACACCCAGCAACGAACCGGTAGCCGGCGTCAACCCGCGATAGCAGGGATACCGACAACCCCGTCGAGCCCATCTTGCAGCCAGTCAACGTTACCGCACTGCTGTCGTCAATGCTCACAAAAGCGGAGCTACTGTCGTAGAACATCGCACCCACCTCCACGTCGTTGTCGCGCCAATCCAGCCAGCTTGACCGCTGAACAGTCCACAATTCATCGTTACAGATGGCGTAGCGAGCTGAGCCGCTGTTCCCCACCACGCGCAACACGCTGTGATCCGACACGCTGAATCCTTGGTGCTGATACAGCAGGCTTACTCCGAATAACATCGTATTGTTGAGCAGCGCAAAAACGGAGTTGTCACTCACACTGAGACTGTGCACGTAGAACAGGTATTTGTAGCCCTCAAAGCTGCAGTACCGCAAGTACAGCGAGCTGCCACCCACCAGCGTCAGCGTCCCGATCGAGGAAAAGCCAAGTGCATCACGCCTAGTTGTATACGCCTTGACGTTGCTGACCAACAGCGTCGACGCTCTCAACACAACGTTTCCCAGCAAAAACACGCTCCACATGTTGTTCACAGTACCCGATAATTCAAACTCGAAGGATTGCACCGCGTCAACCTCCGTGACGGCGATGTCGCAGTGCTGCGGGAGGGCACGTAAAAAAGCAACGGCGGAGGACCGCAATACCGTCTGGCTCACGCGGATCAGGATGCCGGATGACTCGGTCGCCCCAGCACCCCCAACAAACTGCAGCGCGGCTCCGTCAAGGAATGTGCACCCAGTGAGCGTGATGTTGATGGGGAGATGCAGCGGCATACTGTTGAAGAAGAACGTCAACACGGCACCCACGCCGCTGAATGTCACACCCACGTAGCAGTGGTGCGTATTCCACATGTTAATCGTGAGGTCCGTCAGCGTCTGGTTCACCACGCAGCTCGTGTCGCCGTCGACGGCTCTCTCCGCTACGGGCGGCACAACCGTGTTGGGCACCTCGAGGGGAAGACACGACGCGCCATGCCATCCGTCCTTGCAGCTGCACGAGCACGAGCCGCGGTCCACCGACTCCGTCCCGGGCATGTAGCACGCCGCGTCGTCGTTGCACGTGCCACACCTGAAAAGCACCACTTCCTCCGGAAACAAACCGTCGTACAACAACTCCTCATTACCCTTCAGGTTGCACCCCACCACAAACCGCGCGGGTAACGCAACAATCGTGTTCGGTGGAAGAAGCTTGGCAAAGACAGTGTTTCCGCCCACCTGACGGTTGTGTGAAAGCACCACGGTGGTGCCGCTGCCCGACAGCTGAATTTTGTACTGGGGATACAGAATAGATAATACTGAGGCTGCACCCACGCTGTTGCCCTCCACACGCCACTGCGCACCTCCCTCGAGGGTCACCGAGCCAGACAAATGCAACAGCGCGGGATCAAAAGTTTCCGTCCCGCCAACGAAGGTGCAGTCCGCCACTCGCAGCAGCCCCGCGGAGCTCACGGTGTTATCCCCAAAAAGAATAACGCCATTGACCGCGCTCATCGTGTTGTTCTCCACGTCAATGAAGCCGCCGTTCTTCACATCAACAGCGTAAACGTAAACAGATGATTCCACACCGTCATCATCCTTCGTTGCGCTCAGCGTATTTCCTTTCAAAATAATCCCGCCGCCATCAACAACAACAGCAGCGGAGAAATAAATTGCGTACCAGCTCCCCTCGATGTAGTTGTCGAGCAGCAGCAGCGTCATATTCGCACTGAGAGTAAACTTCACAAATAAAATGGCATGGCCCGACATCGTCACAATCGTACTGCCAACCACCAGTATTTGGGAGCTCACGCCAAAATCACCCTGAAACACCAACACTCCGGAATCCATCATCGAGGAGACCACGCTCACGTGCACGCGCGCACCACTCCCCTTGATCGACAGGCCCACGAGGACGCAATGTAACAGCGTGATGTTGAGTGTCTGCTGTGGCGCGTCAAAATACGACAGGTCCAGCACAATCGCGGCGGTAAAGGTCACGTTGACAAAGCACAGACCACGCACACCGGGATCAGGATAGTCCACGGAGCTGATGCTGCCACCGTGCACGCAGCGGACCTCCGTGTCCCTCGCATCGGGGAGCAGTAACGGTCCAAGGCCGTCCGGAACAGCAGCTGGCAGACACGTGTCACCGTAGCCGCCAGCAGCACACACGCACTCACAGCCGCTGATGCTGCTCGTCTTCGCTGCGAAGCACACGGCGTCCACAGTGCACGCGCCGCAGTCCAATACCGTCACGGGTGGTCCAATATTCAGGTCGACTCTATAATCCGTCACAGGAGAGCCCCTTGCCTCGTTGCACACGCCGTAGATGGTCGGGTGCGAGTCGGATGGTGGTGACCAGTTGCTTGTCATGCGTGCGATGGTCGACGAGTACGAGCCATACGTGAAGTTGTTGTAAAGTATCGACCACACACTCCGATCGCGGAACGCCACGCCGTTATCGTTGGCCACGTACACAACGTAGGCGGTTCGGAACTCGTTGTCGCGGTGCACCAGCCAGCTGCCGTCAGCCACGGTCAGCGTGTTTGCAATGAGCATGGCGAAGCCGAGACGGAAAATGCCGGACACAATCTGCAGCACGCTGCCGCCATCTAAAACAACATCCTTGAACACACACGCGCCCTTGCCATATTCGGTGCTCGGCGCACTCCACGAGCTGTTCTGTATGGAGAACACGGAGCCGCCGCAAACACGCAGGTCCGACGCAAGAGCGTACATCACGTGCGTCTTCGACCTGACAACGCAGCTGTCCATGTAGAATACGCTGGACAGGTTGGCGCCGAGACCGCGCTCCACGAGGATCGCAGCGCACGAACCCCCGCCACACGCCATAGTCGACCGCGTCATGACAAACCGCGTCGACAGCAGCCGGACGCCGTCCAGGACAAGCGCGGGGCCGTACCGGGATCCCGCGTGGCCAGGTGTCGTCGGCACGTACTGCGACCCGCCAACCGTCGCGCGCAGCGTTGAGTTCGCCAGCAGCATACTCGAGTTCGGCGGCATCGCGCCATGCAGCACGATCGTGCCCTCCATCGACGTTACATTCGTCATGCTGACGAGGGCGTACGGCACCAGACGCGCCGTGCTCTCGCTGAGGCCGCCAATCCGCAGCTGCGCGCCGCCCACAAGCACGCAGTGGCGCAGCGTCACGTTCAGTGCGTCAGCAAACGCGTCCATCAAGCGCAGGTCCACCGCCACAGTGATCGGCCCGCTGAACACCACCGAGTCGAAGCACGCCGTCGCACGCACGCCGCCAACCGTCACCGACTCCGTCAGCGTCACGCCACTCATGCAATCCTGCGCAGTATCGCCACCACCGCCGCCGGCCCTCGCAGGCGGCACGTCGAACGGCAGGCACTCCTCACCCACACCGCCGGCACGGCAGCTGCACACGCAGTCGGAGAACGACGCCGTCAGCGCATCAAAGCACGCCAGCGCGGCCGCACAGCCGTCGCACGGCACCACGCTCACGGAGGGCAGACCGGCCGAACGGTAGTCGCCACTGCTCCGCAGCACCCGGCCGCCGGCACGGTTGCACTGCACCGACACGGCGCCGCTCGTGATCGTCAGCCCGGCGACAAGCGTCGCACCAGTGGCAGCGCAGCGCGCAATCGACACGGCGCCGCCGCTCAGCGTCACACCCGACAGCAACGCCACAGACGACGCCTCGCCCACCGCCCACACGTCGTGCATGTCCAGCCACCCGCCGGCACCGATCGTTCCACCGTCGCAGCGCACCAGCGACGACGCGACAGACCCCTCGACGCCCACAAAGCGCAGCACCGAGTCGGACACCGCGAGGCGCTCGCCAAGCACAATGCCGCCGCCGCTGCTCACAACCGACACGTTCGTCATGGAGAACACCGAGTGGCTCTGCAGGCTGAGACGTGACGAGGACGCCACATGCATCGCGGACGCGGTCGGACCGCCCGACGCCTCCAGCAACACGCCGTCAAGCGCCACCGCGCTCGACAGCAGTTTCACGCCGCCGCCAACGTACACCGCCGACCCGCCCGCGTGCAACGACCTCAGCACAGTGTTGCTCACACGCAGCTGCGACTGCAACAGCGATGTCGCGTGCAGCACAAGCGGCGACGCCACAGCGTCCGTCAGCCCGCTCAGCTGGGAGTAGTGCATTGGCCCCGGCGTCACAATCGTCGAGTCACGGACCGTCACGTTCGTGTGTGCCGGCAGGTTGTGTACAAACACAAGCGAGCAGTAGCTCCCGGACAGCCCGCTCACGCTCACCTCCAGGCTCCGGTCACTCGCCGGCTCGCCGCCGTAGCCCCGCACGTAGATCTGCGCACCGCCGTAGCACACGCAGTTCCTCAGTTCGATGCGCAGCGCGCCGGGAAGCATCGCCGGCACGTCGAACACCACAGCCACGCCGTTCGTCATATGCACGCCGTCCATCAGCACCGTGTCCACGGCACGGCCAACCGTGATGGCTCTGTCTACCGTACCGCCCCGCAGTCGCAACACCACCGCATGCGCCGCGGGCACCCACGCCGCCGCCGCAACCAGTGCCAACACAACGAGCAGCGCCACACGCACAGTCAAAATTGCCCTGCACCGCACACGGTGCCGGCTGCGCGGACACGCACCCACCGCAGACCGCATCCACAGACCCAAAGAGGTAATAAAAGGACTGTCGTGGTGTGTCGCACTCGACCCGTCGACCGTAACTCCTGCCTAGCAAATCCCTTCCTAAATATGGCGAATCCAGTGACACGATTCCGCCAGATCGTTATATTAATACTGCTAATCCTAATACTGCAATTAACTCCTAACACCTTGAAACGATAGTTGTGCTGGTCGAGCAAAAGTATCTCTAACTGCAGGGTCAAAAAAGAAATAAAAGCAGCGACAACAGTAACCAAACACAGTGGCACGCAAAAACATCCGGTCATACACAATAACCATCACAGTACAGCCGCCGAAGCTAAGCCGCGCTGACGCAATCAAGTGAGTGACACCATCGCCCTCCCACCTCCCACACAGTCACCGCGCAGAGTGGTGGAATCCCGGCAAAAAGCCAAACGACCACTGGCACCGCTCCTGTTACCGAGTGGCTGCATCACAGGGCGGTCCCGATGCCGTGCACGACACACAAGAGCCGAGGCAGACCGCGTGGCAGCGTTACGACCGCCAGCCATCAAGCGCGTACAAAAGGCGTTGTTGGTGTTGGTGGTGCGGAAGTGGAGTGGAGAGCTCGCCGGCCCCCAGCAGTCAATGCCTCGTTCCTCGTTCACGCGAGTCGGCATTGCACAGCAGGCAGAGGCACCATGCGCGCACGGCATCGCACAAAGAAGGGAACAAAGAAGCACAGCGGCAGCACTTGGTCACGGGGAAAAGAGTCCATGTCGATTGCATTCCGATTGGCTCACAGACGTCCGGATGGTAGTCGTGCAGATGCCGCGCGGCTGTTGTGACTGCAGTGGATTGAGGGGATGATGAAAGGGGTGGAAGACGCGGTGCGGTCCTCATCCATCTCGGTTAACTGTGACACCGGTTACGTCATCCCGTCAGATCGCCTGCAGCAAAGACCGTCACCGTCAGCAGCGGTCGGTGCCTTCCCTCTCCCACTGGGGCGCAACTCCACCGACGCAGTCGCTCGCCTCCTCCCCCGCCAACACAGCGAGGGAACAACGGCAAAAGATGAGACACGCACGGCAGGCGCGCAGTCGCAGAGTCCCATTGCTGCCGCCATGAGCAAACAAGGCTGGCTGCAGGGCGCAAAAAGAAGGGTAAACACCCCATCAAACGCCTTGGCATCACGCGGAAAAACCGCAACCGACACACAAGGCGAAACGCCGTGAAGCAGCCACCAAAACCAAAGCTCCTCCAACAAATCCATCGTGAAGCAAAAAAAAAAAATTCACACAAACTGAAAAAAAGAATGCCGAGGCAGAGGCAATAAATAGTTGTGGTGCGCAGCGGCCGTGGCATCGCACCCTTCCCTCATCTAACGGCACCGCACCACAACGCACCGTGACGACAGCGTGCAATGACGACGACTGAGTAGCACGCACAAAGCGGCATAAACGTTTCATCCCGCACTCGCTCACATTTATGCTCTCAGTATTTGCCGCCAACGACACGGGGAAGGACACAGAAGGGGACTGTCCCATCCATCCACCTTCTGCCCACAACAGACCCTCCCCATCCTCCTCCTCGCCACACCCTGGGTGCCGCGAAACGCCGTCAAGCAAATCCACGTGTATGGAAGCCCCCAATGCGCTGGGCGGAGCTGGCAGCCACCCACACTCACTCTCCCGCACACATCCTCTCCCACAACCTTCCCACACACAAAAGGGCAAAGACATGGAGAAGAAAAGCCCGCCGCACAACGCACGCAGAAGCACCGCCATCCACGTCGCGCCGCAAGATAGAGTCATGCGCACAGCACACACACGGCCGCAACAAGAGCGACGGGTCAAATTCAAATCCACGGCGCTGCACTTTACTTCTCTCTTCTCAGACGAATTGGCGTCTCACACCCACAGTGAGGCACGGCGCACACCATCCGCTCACCTCCAAGTGCACTCAACAGGCCGGGGCACGGCGTCCAGCCAATCTGTTAACATCGCAAAGGCGAACACAAACGATCGTCTTCGCGGAATATCGGTGCCTCTAGCGGGGAAAAAAAAAAGGCAATAGGGGCATGTCAACAGCACGGTCAGCAGAGGGACAAGAAAAGGGACACAAGGACACAAAGTGGCAGTGGACATGGCACAGACAAAAAGGGGTCCGCAGGGATTAAAAAGAAAGAAAGAAAAAAGAAACAAAAGGGTAGGAGTTCAGAAAAACTCCCAAAAACATTTAAAAAAAATGTGTTGATTCGGCAGGACTTTTACTTCATTTGCCGGTTCAGCACAAGACGACCGTGTGTTCTGTATAAATATTACCTGCACCAAAACGAAAAAAAAAAAAAATGAAAAAAAGAAAGTAAAACGAAAAAAATGAAATTGTACTGTTCCACCAGCCCACACAACATCCCTCACTTTCATTGCGGCATCCGGCCTTTTCTTCCAATCCCCCCTTCGTGCAGTCCGTGGGACGCACAGCCGCAGGGCCGGCACCGCGTGTGGGCAACACACAACAAAACAAGAGGGGGAACACGTCACTCATGACAGTGTGCAGCAACCAAAAATTAAAAAAAAAAGAATTACTGAGTATTACAAAAAAAACACGCGCACACACAAAAAAAAAAGGAAAAAAAAGAACCCGCGGGGAATGCGCCACACAATCCCCGTGAGGAGTCGCGATGTCACACTCTTCGGCTCACAAGACTGCCACAAGTGCACACAGTCCCAGAAGACGCAGCAAAACACAAGACACGCACACACGCGCAGTGCTGTCGCCACGTAAATCATGCAGGATCAATTTCGCGTCGGTGATCAGGGCGAGGCGGTCCTCTGGACCCATACTGCCCTCGGATGCTGAGTGATTGGTTTCTGGAATGGAAGTGTCATTTTTGGCGGCAGTGCGTGGACTCAATCCGTCCGTAACATTCTCAGCACTCGATTCACTGCCCGCAAGAACACGGACAGACTGAGAGTCAGTCGGCTGTGCAATTGGAGCCTCTTCAACGTCTGCCAGGGAAGTCGTCAGCTGTGTGGCCGTATGCAATGCAGCTGCCGGCTGTGCAACGTCCAGCTGTCCGACCTTCTGCTTTTCTTCCTCCGTCGTTGTGACTTTCACCGCAGTGTGCAGTTCTTCGGCAGCCGGATGTCGAATAGGGACTGTCCTGGCGTTGAGGTTTCCGAGGTCATCATCATACAGTATGCGGTTGTACAGAAGGACATCAGCCACCGTCACAGGGCTGCTCCCTTCATCTTCCTTATTGCCCGCACCAAAGAAGAAGTGTGAGATCCTGTGTGTACCAAACTGATCAGCGTTACTGTCCTGAGCCATTTCCTCTTCCGTCTCGTATATTTTTCTCCCATTAGCGTACACGAACCATTCATCATCGTTATCCTTTTGCACCGTCACTCGAATTGCCGTGTTTGTTTCCCAATTGCCAACACCACCAGACGGCTTCACCAAAAAATCCTTCTTGTGAAGTGTGAAGTTCCAATTTCTTTCACTCGTGTACGACAGTTGAAAGAGCACCGTGCTGTCCTTGTCGTTCAGCCTCGCACCAATCAAAGGAATGCTGCCTTCCTTCGGCACCTCGTGGATGGACACCGTCGCCGAAAGAGTGAACTTGTTGTTCGCAAAGTAGTACGGCACAGTCTGCCCCGTGTCGCCAACAGGCCACTTCGCCTCTGATCCCTTGAGCGTCACACCGCTCTCCGTGCTGGTCACTCCGCCCCTCACTGTGGCATTCACGCCGAGGTACTCGTCCTTCCATGCAGTCCCGTCCAATGTGCTGGATAAAAAACCAACCAGCCCTTCAGTGGGAACTTTCAAGGCGTTGTCCAATTATTTCCATGTCTTCACCACTTCCTTTATCCGCTTCAGCTGCTCAGTCAGGCGCATGGCGACAAGACTGTATGGCCTGTCACCATTCCTCTTCTCGTACAGTAAAATCAGCTCATCCTTACTTTTCAACAGCGAGCTCGCGGCAGAGTCATCATCTTCACGGGATATCGGCCCAACATCGTGCACACGTGCATTGTCCGTCACCCAAAGATGGAGCCGACCTTTTACACCTTCATTTTCCTCCTTCGGATAAACCGGCGCGGTGATGAGCATCACCTCCTTTCCCTCAATGGTTGCGGTGGTAAATCCACTCTTGACGCCGTCCCCTGTTCGATTATGTGAGTTGCCCCACACGCGGGTAATTGGCTCACCATATGGGTACCAACTGACTCCATGCGAAGTGGACCTGTAAACGTCATAGTAGCCTCCAGCACACTGAGCCATCATGAAGGGTCTTTCGTCGCCTTCGTTTTCTCCCCACTCCACAATGGATGGATCCCTGCAGCCTTTACCAGTCGCTTCGGATGAAAATTCCCATTTGTTCTTTGACGGGGTAAAACTCATAGAGAGTAAAACGCTCTGTCCATCGTTGCCTTTGGCCTGCATGGGAAACACAAGCGTGCCGTCACGCATCACAGCACCCGATCCTCCACCGCCAGTTAACTCGGTCAAGGAATAAGAATCTCCTCTGGGTTCAGGCTTCACCAAATGGGCCTCATTCCACAAAAGTTTCTTGTTGTTTCCACCCTCATTGGCGACAGTTCCCTTCACGAGTAAAAGACCCCGCTCATTCTCACCTTGAAACTGCGGCTTTGTACGGCTTTGGTTTCCCAGGAGCATGTAAACACTGTTCCCAAACACAAGCGTCGTTGGTCGCAACACTTCCGTTGTCCCAAAATTATTCGCGGCGGCGTCCACAAGTTGCATGCAAAACAAACTTATATCCGACGTCGAAATATCCATTGGGTCACCACTTATATTCAGGTGCTTTGAGACAATCCCAGCACGGCGGCCGGCTCCCTTCTCCTCCCCGCACTGCGATTCAGCAACGGCAAATACATCTTCACCCACTTTAACGAGGCCAGGAGCACGGAGCGAGGTGATTTTCCTCCCGGCCTCGTTAAACCCCTTCCAATTAGCGAATGATATCGGCGTCGTCCCTGTGAACGGATCAACAGTGGCCCCTGCCTGCTCGGCGTGCGCAGCTCCACTGCCGCAGCACATCATCACAAGAACGAGGAGCAGCAGCACCGCAGAGCAGAAGAGATGCCGCGACATGTTGCGCCTCTCCGGCTCACTCTCTCTTCCCTCCCTCCTCCTCCCGCGGAATCCGGTCACGCGGCGACGGTTGTGTGTGCGGGGTGCCATCACTGCAGCAACACGTGAGAGCATATAAATATGTGTGTGTGGGCGGTGTGTGTGCTGTTGGTCCTTTCAGTGCCTTCGAATTTCACAGTAGCGATTAGCGCTTGGTTTTTTTCCTTCCTAGCGTGTCTTTGTCCAAGAAGTGGAGAGTACAGCAACAGCGGCAATACATCAGACACGTCAGCGGGGCTAGAGCAGAGCACATCACTCACGCAAGGTGCGGACAAAATAGAATCTGTAAGGGACAACACGGAAAAACATCGCCCACATAAAAAAACAACAACACGGCAAGTCACAGAGGAAGCCAACACACACACACAAATGGACGCGGAATTTTATTACTCGGCGACGCCATTCAAAGTCCGGCCAAAACAGTCCGCAAGTGATACAGTGATCAGCCACACGCTCCCGGTGCACCGCCGCGGCAAGAACGCGGACACAAACGGAATTATCTGCACAAACGTGGGCAGCACCAAATCACAGCACCGCCGCACGACACACGCTCTCT